TAAGAAATGCCCAAGTGAGAATGAAAGGACTGTATGATAAGAATTCTCGTAAACGAACATTCAATCCAGGCGAGAAGGTTCTTGTGCTAGTGCCTAATCTGAACAATGCGTTGTCCTTAAGATATTGTGGACCCTTTACTGTGCATTCAAAATTAAGTGATTTGAACTATGTTGTCAATACGCCCGACAGAAGAAAGAAACAGACAGTGTATCATGTTAACTCACTGAAAAAGTATTATGATAATTGTAACAATTTTCATTCCACAGTTAAAATTACTTTACCTGTATGTTCAAATATTTCTGATGATGTGATACATGATAAATTGAAACCCCCAAAATTGGTAAATTCTTCCTTTTTAGATCATCTAAATGACCACCTTATGCATTTGTCCACAGAGGAAAGCCATAAATTGTCTCAGTTATTTGAGACATTTCCCTCTATTTTTGGGATGTCCCCAAAGAAGCGAAGGTACCACCTCATGATGTAGACGTAGGTGACGCAAAACCCATCAAACAACACCCCTATAGAGTTAACCCGGAAAAAGCTGTTTTGATAAAAGATGAAATTGATTATATGCTCAAGAATGATATCATTGAACCCAGTTTCAGCAACTGGAGTTCCCCATGTCTTCTAGTCCCGAAAGACGGTGGATCTTTCAGGTTTGTGACCGACTTTAGGAGGGTAAATGCGCTCACCATAGCTGATTCCTATCCATTACCTCGAATAGAAGACGTTATTGATAAAGTTGGTCAAGCTAAGATAATTTCCAAAATTGATTTACTTTCAGGATACTGGCAAATCCCCTTATCTGACCGTGCAAAAGAAATATCTGCTTTTGTAACCCCTAATGGTTTTTATAGATACAAACGGATGCCCTTTGGTATGCGAAATGCTGGTCAAACTTTCCAGCGGGTCATTAACTCTGTCATTGCTGACATAGACCAATGTGAGGCCTACATAGATGATATAGTTGTATTTTCTAATACTTTTGAAGAACATATTGTTCAGTTGACTAACCTTTTTAGAAAATTGTCTGAAGTGAATTTTACTGTAAACCTGCATAAAAGTGATTTCTGTAAAGGTTCAATTACCTATTTGGGTTATCAAGTGGGAACGAACCAAGTTAGGCCCATTGAAGCTAAAGTAGATGCTATTGTAAAGTTGCCTCCTCCCAAAAATTGTAAAGAAATCAAAAGGTTCCTTGGGATGGCTGGTTACTATAGGCGGTTCTGTCAAAACTTTTCAGCTGTTGCTGAACCTCTTACTGCATTATTGAAAAAGGGTGTTGAGTTTGAATGGTCAACTAAATGTTATGAAGCTTTTTTAACCATTAAGTCATTTTTATCTAATGCTCCTGTTATGGCTGCACCAGATTTCAGCAAGCCCTTTAAACTTACCATTGATGCTAGCAACTTAGCCATTGGCTCAGTCCTATTTCAAGAAGACAACATGGGGATTGACCATCCAATTGCTTTTTTTTCCAGGAAGTTAAATGAGAACCAAAAGAATTACTCTACTATTGAAAAAGAAGCTTTAGCTTTGGTTTTGTCCTTACAACATTTTGAAGTCTATGTCACTTCTTCAACCAATCCAGTCAGAGTGTTTTCTGACCATGATCCCCTGAAATTTACCTCTAAGTTAGGACAGAAGAATCAAAGAATATTGAGATGGTGTTTATATTTCCAAAATTTTAATCTGGAAATTTCACACATTAAGGGTAGTGATAATGTTGTGGCTGATTGTTTGTCAAGGATGTAAAATCTTATTACACACATTGATCATGTGACATGTTTTGTGGTTCATTAGGACCATACACAAGTGTTTTGTTTGGGTGACACCCACATGAATGTGAGTGGTATGAGTTTTGAATTTTTTCAAAATGTCAATCATGTTGAATATTTTGTTTATTTGTAGGTGAACCTTAATTAAAGGTGGTTTTTGATTATATGTAATCTTCTATAATAATATGTCTCATATGACTCAGTTGATATTGTAGCTAGTCATTGAAATAAAGGTTTTACCCTGTCGGGTTTACCACTTTTAATATCCACATGGAAATATTGTGATACCCCTTTCTGAGGGATTTTGATGTATAATTATGTTTTGAAAGGGTTACTCCCCTTTCACAAATTGTAAAAGTTTGAGTTACTTCCCTTTTGTTTCCAGGGATGTTTTCATCTGGTATTAAGATTTTGATTGACTACATTTGTAAAACATTTTTTTATTTCATTGCCAGATTGGTTCCTTATGTATGTTTTTGTGGAACCTATCTGTCACTTCCAAAAAGGGAGGGGATGTGACCTACTTAGGTCCAGTAATGTTTTATTTTGACATTGTGTTAATACCATATATGGATTGATGGTGCAACTACCGGGGTTTTTCCACTGTCTTATTAAGAGTGTCTAAGACGTAGACATTTTCCATCAAGATCTGATTGATTAATTCAGACCAGATGACCACCCCAACCAATGGCCACATGAGTTGAGGATAACCTCCCCTGTTGCCAAAGTCTTTAACTAGATCGCCCACAGGCGACACGAGGCAGTCTACCTTGATCAAGCGGTCCATTATGACCAGGCCGTCCATTTTGTCAGGCAATAGATTCTGACCATTTGAACGTGAGAGAACTTAAGTCCTGAGTGTGCTATGCATTCCTAAGTTGTTAAAGTGTTCTAATATTATATTACTTGTCGCCAAGTGATTCTTGATGCTATAGCAGTGTTATGTGACCAGTGGCTATTTTTATACAGTGTTAGAATCTGTGATAGAATTCTTTCTTACGCTTTGTAAGTTGGGTTTTGTTATTTTCTAAATTAAATATTTTATCTTGTTTAACCTTGTGTTCTGCCACAACTGTGTTCGCTTATTAAAGGTTGTATGCAGATTGAATGAGTTGTTAACTTCAATAGTTTCACTAGTTTTCCCTAGACATCGAAATCGAGCCCTAGTGTGTTGTTGAGTTAATGTTCATTCATTTAGGCTTTAGGTCATTTGCATATAACCCCAAGAAAGAATCCGGGGGCGTTCACCATCTATCTGGCTGGTAGATATGTGTCCGTTACAATATATATATATATATATATATATATATATATATATATATATATATATATATATATATATATATATATACTATTACCGTGTCTGTTCCCCCCACTTCTGGATATTTATTTAGTCTGCCCTCCCGAAAGTTTTAAGCCTCCCCCCCCCCCCCCCTGGTGAAATAAACCGGGAGTGATCTCCCCTAAACTTTCTCAAATATTCTTATATAACTTGGAATATAGACATGATTTTTAATTACTTAAACTTTTAAAAATAGTATAGAATCTCATAGAAAAATATTATTAGTACTTTATAAATGTACATGCGTTGTTTTTTTTTTTTGAGAAATCGGAAATAGCGTAAATTAGTACTTCCGGTCAACGGAAATTACTCAAAATTTGATAGAAGGTAGAGAATTAGATCTTTTACTTACATGTGAAATTTATCTATCTGAAATAGTACTCAAGTTATAGGCTTTTGAAAAATTCAAAGTAGAAAAAGTACCACTTCCGGTTATCGGAAATCGCTCAAAAGTTGATAGGGATCTACGATTTTGATAAAATACTTATATATGAAATTTCATTAACCTAGCTCTAAGTAAAAGTTCTAATTTTCTGCCTTCTGTCTATCAAATTTTGAGTAATTTTCGTCGACCGAAAGTAGTAATTTACGCTATTTCCGATTTCTCAAAAAAAAAAAATAACGCATGTGAATTTATAAAGTACTAATAATATCCCGCACTATTAAGCACATTTTATTTGGCGTTCACTTGGTGTGCAATACTTTTTTTTTTACGAGATTCTTTTCTATTAGTTTAAGTTTAAGTAATTAAAAATGGATTTAAAAAATTGTCTATGTCCCGAGTTGCCATCCCCCGTAGTGTTATATTAGAGTATTCGGGAAAGTTTAGGGGAGATCACTCCCGGTTTATTTTAATTATTATTAGGCTACTAATGATGCAGCATCTTTTTTAAATAGGGGAGACTTTTTTAAATAGGGGGAGACCACTCTAAATATAGATCTAGTAAATAATACGATAGGTATTAAGAAAAATGGCAGCTACTTTTATTAGGTAATAGATCTACTTAACTTTGTCTTACTAAGCCTACTAAATTTTAAATTAGCCTGTGAATAGTTTTTTTTTAAATTACTTTACCTACAAGATTATATTATCTAGATCTAGATCTAGAGTCTAGAAGCCAGGGTCTAGATCTAGTCTAGATTCTAGCCACGATTTTTTTCTGCTAAGGAAAACCAAGCAGTTGAAGTTAAAAATTATTTCCCGCTAAATTATCCAAGCGTGGTTAGATCTAGATTCTAGATCTAGATTTTCTAGGTCTCTATAATACTCTATATAGATCTAGATCTAGATTCCAGAAATAAAACAGACAATAGGAGTTTGACTTTTTGTAATGTGTTTTTAGATGGTTTGTTCTGTGTCTAGCCATCTTTACTTTCCCTAGTCAGGTGTCCATCATAGCTGGTTGATGTTATACTTTTTTTCTAAATTAAAAACAAAACAAAATACCTGAGTGGAATATCATGTATTATGTATTATATAAAATCGTGCATAGAATATAGAAAATAGTGTCATGTTTTAATTATTTAGCCATTTTTATTATATCCAAAATAGGACCCTAATGGAAAACTATGAATAAAGCACTTGTGTTACGATGAGATCACAGCACCAACCTAGAGGCCAGGCAGTGGGATAAATAGGTAACTCTTCAGTTGTCATAACACTGAGAAAAACTAGTAGTGTGTGACTACTCTTAATATTTTTGACACAAAAAGCCTCCATTGTAAAGGTGTTTGACATAGGTGTTATGTTAGGCTTATTGTGAAAAGAATATGCATACCGCATAAGTCAGCATTCATGTTTTTGAAGAACATTTTTATTTATGTTTCTTGATTATTTCTGGAAATATTATTAAAAAAAAAATTTAATTACTTAGTTATGGAGCTAAAGGATAGAAAAAAAAGAGAAGCTGATATAGAAGTATTACCAAGTGTTTTAGAGATCAAGCAAGAACTACATGTGGACAACCAGCCAGAAATTTTGAATATAATTTCATCTGAATACATAAAACAAGAGGAGTTTACAGAAACTGATGACACAAAAGCAAATGTATTGTCAACATGTGAAAACAAAAATCATGATTTATCATCAGAATTTACAACACATGTAGACAACAAACCAGATAGACTTGATTTATTTTCAGTTTTTGAAGATATAAAACCTGATGGTTTAAATGCAGGGCTAAGCCTATCACTAGAGACAACTCATACTGACAATATTTCTCATATAAAGACAGAGTTATCAACTGATTTATCAGAGCTAAAGAATATTCAGATAAACAACAATGAAAATCAAACATCAAATCAGGTTGAATTATTAAAGCAGTGTAAGAAGAAAAACTTAAAATCTTCAATGTTTAAAACTCTTCTAGGAAAATGTAAAGAATCACACACAAGTGTGAGGTCATATGAGTGTAATGTGTGTCATAAAAACTTTGCTACAAGAAGTAAACGAAATCAACATAAATCTATTCATTCAGGAGAGAGGCTATGTGGATGTTATCTGTGTAATCAAAGGTTTCCCTTAAATAGTAAACTCAACCAACATGGACAATTTCACAAAATAGTGAGAGCACAAAAGTGTGATGTGAACCATAAAATGTTAGGTTCAAAGAGGAATCTAAATCAACATAAAGCAATTCATTCAGGACAGAGGCTGCATAAGTGTGATGTTTGTCATATAAAGTTTACTAGAAGAAATAACCTAAATAAACATAAAGCTACACATTCAGCAGATAAGTCACATGACTTTAATATGTGTAATAAAAAGTTTGCTACCAGGACTCTAAAACAACATAAAGCAATTCATATAGGAGAAAGGTTACATGAATGTGGAGTCTGTCATAAAAAATTTACTACAAGAGGTAATCTAAAAGAACATATAGCTATTCATTCAGCGGAAAAGTCACACAAGTGTGATGTATGCCAGAAAAAATTTGCTTCAAAGAGGAATCTAAATCAACATAAAGCAATTCATTCAGGAGAGGGACTACATGAATGTGATGTATGTCATAAAAACTTTATTAACAGGACCAACCTTATTAAACATAAAGCTATTCATTCAGCGGAAAAGTCTCATGAGTGTGATGTATGTCATAAAAAATTTGCATCCTGGACTTACCTAAATCAACATGAAGCTATTCATTCAGAAGAGAAGCTACATGAATGTGATGTGTGTCATAAAAGGTTTTCTAGAAAGTCGTACCTAATGGAACACAGAGCAATTCATTCAGCAGAAAAGAAACATGAGTGTGATGTATGTCATAAAAAATTTGCAACGAGGACTAACCTAAATCACCATAAATCTATTCATTCAGAAGAGTGGCTACATGAATGTGATGTGTGTCACAAAAGGTTTTCTAGAAAGAGGTACTTAGTGGAACACATAGCAATTCATTCAACAGAAAAGTCTCATGAGTGTGATCAATGTCATAAAAAATTTGCTATAAAGAGGAGTCTAAAGCAACATAAAGCAATTCATTCAGGAGAGGGGCTACATGAATGTGATGTGTGTCATAAAAAGTTTTCTAGAAAGTCCTACCTAAAGCAACATAAATTAATTCATTCCACTGAAAAGTTACATATGTGTGATGTATGTCATAAAAAATTTGTTTCAAAGAGTCATCTAAATCAGCATAAAGCAATTCATTCAGCACAAAAGTTATATGAGTGTGATGTCTGTCATAAAAAGTTTACCACCAGGGGTAACCAAAATCTACATAAAACAGTTCATTCAGATGAAAAGCTATATGAATGTGATGTGTGTCATAAAAGGTTTTCTAGAATGTCATACCTAAAGGAGCACAAAGCAATTCATTCAACAGAGAAGTCTCATGAGTGTGATGTATGTCATAAAAAATTTGCAACTAGGACTAACCTAAATCACCATGAAGCTATTCATTCAATAGAGAGTTTACATGAATGTGATGTGTGTTGTAAAAATTTTTCTAGAAAGTCCTACCTAAAACTACATAAATTAATTCATTCCACTGAAAAGTTAAAAGAGTGTGATGTATGTCATAAAAAATTTGTTTCAAAGAGTCATCTAAATCAACATAAAGCTATTCATTCAGGAGAGAGGCTACATGAATGTGATGTGTGTCATAAAAAGTTTACTACCAGTTCTACTCTAATTACACATAAAATAATTCATTCAGCAGAAAAGTCACACGAGTGTGATGTGTGCCATAAAACATTTACTACAAAGGGTAACCGAAATATACATAAAACTATTCATTCAGAAGAGAAGCTACATGAATGTGATGTGTGTCGTAAAAAGTTTTCTAGAAAGTCGTATCTAAAGAAACATAAATTAATTCATTCCAATGAAGAGTTAAAAGAGTGTGATGTATGTCATAAAAAATTTGTTTCAAAGAGTCATCTAAATCAACATAAAGCAATTCATTCCGGTGAGAGGGTACATGAATGTGATGTGTGCCATAAAAAGTTAAATACCAGTTCTTCTTTAATTAGACATAAAGCAATTCATTCAGCACGAAAGTTATATGAGTGTGATGTTTGTTATAAAAAGTTTACCACCAAGGCTAACCTAAATCGACATAAAACAATTCATTCAGCACGAAAGTTATATGAGTGTGATGTTTGTCATAAAAAGTTTACCACCAAGTTTAACCTAAATAAACATAAAACAATTCATTCGGCACAAAAGGTCACATGAGTGTTATGTGTGTCATAGAACGTTTGCTACAAAGATTTTCCAAAAATCAACATGAAGCTATTCATTATAGAAAAGTACCATATAAGTGTGATGTGCGTCATCAAGGGTTTTCTTAATATAAAAAAATAAAAACATAAAAAAAATTCATGTCATCGCATGAGTGATTTGTGCTATTAAAAGTTTGCTACAAGGATTAATCTTTATCAACACAAAGCAAGTTATACGGCAGAGGTTGCATGAGCGTAATAGAAAGTTTCTGTTGATAATTACTCTAAAATGCCATCAATTAATTGATTCAGAAGTAGGTCAAATTAAACATTTATGAATAAAGTATGTGTAAACAAACTCATTCATAAATAGATTAAATTATATTTTTATACTGTAAAATGCTGCAAGGGGGTCAACCTTTTATGATCTCCACAAAAATGTTATCCACTTTCAAAGATCCTCCCCTCCCTCTTTTTTTTCCATTTTTGATATACATGTATATATATATATATATATATATATATATATATATATATATATATATATGAAATTATTTAGATTTGTGTAAATTAATTCACAAAAAAAAAAGACAATTCATTGTGTGGGTATGGAATTACCCTGTGTGTTGAATTACTACATGTTACCCTATCTGTTTTATGTTTGCTTAAAAATGTTCAACACATACTTCGACTAAATAGGGGAGACTTTTTTTTAAATATAGATCTAGTAAATAATACAATAGTTATTAAGAAAAATGGCAGCTACTTTTAATGATCTACTTAACTTTGTCTTACTAAGCCTACTGTGAGAGAGAGTGAGCCTTAATATTATACTGTTAATGTAACTGATATAACTTTTAAAAATAATGTTTGAATATTTTAAAATTGCAAATAAATAATTAATACTTCTTTATTGTAAAATATATGTCAGCAAACTTGATATTCACAATCTTATAACCATGAGTTATTGACAAACAATAATTATTGGGAAAAATGTTTGAGGTACGTAAAAGATCGTCCATAAAAATAAACCATCGAATCAAACCCGTGATGCGATTTTATCGATTTATTCTCTGAAAGTAGTATATCATAGAAGACAAAACGTAGACAGCTGTTTATGTTATAGTAAGTTCAAAAACCAGAGGCCTAGCTAGGGCGCTTTTTCGGGACTAAAATCAGAAGAATTAAAAAAGGTGTTATGTTTGGCGTATTGTGAAAAGAATATGCATACCGCATAAGTCAGCATTCATGTTTTTGAAGAATATTTTAATTTATGTTTCTTGATTATTTCTGGAAATATTATTTTCGAATATTTTTTTTTAATTATTTATTTATTTATTAGTTATGGAGCTACAGAATAGAAAAAAAAAGAGAAGCTGGTGTAGAAGTATTACCAAGTGTTTTAGGGATCAAGCATGAACTACCTGTGGATATCCAGCCAGATATTGTCAATATAATTTCAGCTGAATTCATAAAACCAGAGGAGTTTACAGAAATTAATGACACAAAAGCAAATGTATTGTCAACAGTTCTACTCTAATTAGACATAAAGCAATTCATTCAGCATGTAAGTCATATGATTGTGATGTTTGTCATAAAAAGTTTACCTACAGGGGTAACCTAAATAAACATAAGACAATTCATTCAGCACTAAAGGTCACATGAGTGTTATGTGTGTCATAAAAGTTTGCTACAAGGATTTATTAAAAAATCAACTTGTAGCTATTCATTATAGAAAAGTACCATATAAGTGTGATGTGCGTCATCAAGGGTTTTCTTAAAATAAAAAACTAAATTGACATAAAAAAATTCATGTCATGGCATGAGTGATTTGTGCTGCTAAAAGTTTGCTGTAAGTATAAGAGTAATCTTTTCAACACAAAGCAAGGTATACAGCTAGGGTTGCATGAGTGTGATTTGTGTCAAGTAAAGTTTCCTTTAATAATGACTCTAAAATGCCATCAATTGATTGATTCAGGCAGACATAGATCAAATTAAACAGTTATGAATATATTTATAATAAAGTATGTATAAACAAATTCATTCATAAAATGATTAAATTATATTTTTAAAGTGTAAAATGCTATTTATGACGTCCACAAATATTCCGTCCAATTTTGACGAACCTCCACTCCCTCCACAAGCGCTTGGCGTGTAACATTTGGGTGAGCCTTTCGCAGTGTGTGACCCACCCAGCGCCACTTCCTCCTTCTTATTTGCACAGCCATAGGCTCCTGCCTAGCTTTCCTCCATAGTTCTATGTTCTGCACTTTGTCCTGCCATCTCAGTTTCAATATCTGTCTAAGGCATCTATTCATGAAGGTCTGTACTTCATAAATGGATAACCCCTAAACAATACAGACAACATGAGAATAAAGTGTTTCATAATAAAGTTAGCTTTTATCAAGCAAATTATTCAAGAGAGAGGTCAAATTTATTTTCTTTTTGTGTAAACAAAAATCTTGATTTCTTTCTGAGATCTTAAACTTGAAATAAATTAACACACACAAAAAAAACCCAGATAAACAATGCATTTTATCCATTTTAAAAATATAAAACCTGATGTTTTAACTCAAAGAAAATCTATTCCTTTGAGAAAATTATGGGACATTTTTTTTCCCAAAAAAAAAAAAGACTGTTCTGTGTGTCTTAGCAAGTTTAC